TTATTTTATTTTATTTTATTTTATTTTATTTTATTTTATTTTATTTTATTTTATTTTATTTTATTTTATTTTATTTTATTTTATTTTATTTTCATCAGAAACACTTGTTTCATCTAGCAGCCCAAGCCTGATCTCAGAGTAGGGTTGTGTCCATGAGAGGCAGGTTTTGATCTCTGAGCATAATATAAAATAACAGAGATGAAGCAAGGGCAGTGTTTTGGTTTTCTAGTGTCTGCAAAGAGCAAACTGAATTTATAGTCTTTCAGACAGAGGGTAGAACAGATAATAACTTTTTGCTTCTCTCCTCTGTTAAAATTAACACAGCCCTGTTGCTTTTTCTTGCTGTTGATGTACTAGGTGAATGGGCAGGCAAAGCCAAGCACTGGAATATTTAGGGACTTCACCTGATATCCATTTCAAAGACACCTTCCCATGGCAAGTGAAGTTGGCTAGGGACTCATTCCTCATCTGCATGATTTCATCTCTACCCCTGAAAAAACAGAAGCAAAGCTCAGTTTGTGCTAATTTGTTAAAATAGCGATTAGCACAGATCCTTTCCGGTCTCAGCTGCTGCRCTGTCGCTGTGGTGGCTGCAGCTCTGCAGATCCCCCCAGCTGTGTGTTTAGGCTCGCTCTCTGCTTAAGGCCAGGCTTAAACTTCAAGGGGATTTGGAAGGACCTTCTCRGAGCCTCGTCTGCCCTTATCACAACAGGCGGCAGCGATGCAAGGTGGGGTGGGAGGCAGCRTGGTGGTGAAGGGGGTCATTGGGCTGATCTCCTTAGAAGCCCGAAAGGTCATTTAGCTCTTGGGCTGCTGTCACTGACGCTCTGTGACAGGCTGCGGGTGAAATCCGAGAGGCTGCTTGTGCTGCTGCTCTCCGAGCTGCCGTGCATGGCAGGGATGAGTGCAATGGAGCATCCTTCTTCCCATTGGGAGGAAGGAGATGACAGGAACCACTTCGGAGCCCGCGGAAGCAGCGCTGYTCTTTGGCCAAAGCTTTGGGGCTGAACGGGCTTGGAAGGCAAATGTGTTTTTTGGAGTGGGGTTTGGGCAGAAATAGGGTCTGAGGGGCTGCAGCCCCCTGCAAAAGTAGAGCCATGGGATGGAAAGATCTAACAACTCACCCTATATTACCCCTTTGGGYCATTTTTGGTCCCAGAGAATCCCAGGAGTTGGTGGTGGTGACTCAAACTGAAATATTTCACTTAAGAAAGACAAACTCCTTTATTTTTTTTTTCATTTATAAAACGATATAGCCACAACGATTTCTGCAGAATGATTTGAGTCTGAAGAAGTATTTCACTAAATTTGCATCAACTCAGCCCTAGTGAGAAGCTTTGCAGAAGTTCAGACTCCGTTCTAAGCTTTTGGTTAATACTATAAGATAGCCCAGCAGGAGAGACCTCTGCGTGAGGCTGGGTGGAAATGMGTGTTTCCTTCTTGGGTGTTGTTCATATGGATCCTGCACAACACATGACTCAGGCAAGCACGTTCAGTGGTACTAATGCCCCCAGGGACCTATGCATAGTCCATCAGCACTCCCTATCTCTTACAATTATCAGGAGGAAAATATAAAAATTCCTGGTAAAGTTTTTCAGATGATACAATCCTGGCWGCGAGGTCAGGTACAGACAGGACAGTTATACGAGGTGATGGTGAGGACTTGGTAGGGAAAGCTCTCTTGATTATGTTAACGCAGCCAAAGTCGAATTTATACTTTGAAGACGCTTGCAAAATGAGACAGCATCTTGGAAGGCAAGTGCTATGGAAAAGTTTGGGATAAGCAGGAGATAACAAATGCCATGTATATAAGCTACTGTAAACAGCAGGCAATCTATCAACTGTGCATTAAGCCCCTGGTAGCTATAATAACTAGTGAGGACACAGGCTGTAGGAAAGGACATCTAAGGTTAACTGGAGGGGAGGTTTTGTGCTGGAAGGACTGTGAAGTTTTGGGACAGACTGTATGTGGGTGGAGGGAGGTGAGGAATCTCCATCCAGAAGGAGTGTGATATCTTGTGGGAATAAGTAGTCCTGTGAGCTCAACCAGCTGAGCTTTCCTGGATCCTCTGGGCTTGCAGGCTGGCTGGCTTTTCTGTCTGAGAGGTTTACTTTTTTTCTTTCTTTTCTTTTTTTTTTTTTTAATTAGAAACCCTTTCTTGTGCCTGCAGAAATTAGGAGTGTATATGGGTGTCCCTGTCCGAAGAACAGATTAGCCCCATGAAGTGCCACGGTCAAAGTTGGGCTGGAAACATGGAGAGGCAAACCTTAGAGCTGCAGTGTCATAGGGTACTTATTCATGCTGCAAAATTTATTGCTTTATATAATTATTTTGGTCTTTTAGCAACCTAAAAACCTAAGCCTCTTTCTGAGAAGGCTCAGAGTATCCAGGTTTTCCTTTTTATCTCACTGTGTTCTTTAAAGCACTTAAACCATCTTGCTTTCTCTTCCCTTGCAGAAGGGGAGAAGTCTTTTTGGCTGTGTCTACACCAGCAAATTCATTGTGCCTGGCCTGAAAGACAACGACGTGGGGCAGACAGTGTTGTGAGAAGTTTTATTCTGCAGAACAGGCTGGATGCATCCAGACTGGCTGTTGGGGATGGGCCCTAACTCAGGCTCATCCCTGTTCAGGCAGGGCATCATTTGGCCCGTCCCAAAACTCTGGCGGGGCTGCTCGAGGATGGCAACAATATTGATGGTGACATTCCAGCACCTGGGAATGGTCCCTGACACTGTTGAATTTATGAGTGCAGATGTGGCCTTTGTATATTAGCAGAATGTAGTGCTCTCTGGTGGGACAGATGACTACGGAGATAGATAGYGATGGAGGTGAGGCAAAGTCAAAGSATGCTCTGTGCTGGTTCTTTGCGCCGTGGTGAGTGTTGGAACTTGTCTGCTCTTTCATGATAGATTCATACAGACCCTGACGTTACTCAAGAGGGGGAAAAAAAGCAACCACTATCTATCCTCAGTATTGACACAGATGTATTTTTCAGTTGTGAACTGGCAGAAGCAATATTAGCATGCATCTCTTCTTGAGGAAAAATGACCATTCTTGTGGGCTTTTTTTTTTTTTTTCTTTTTTGCTTCCTTTCTTCTTTAATTTGTCTTCTTTATTTTAGTTTCTTTTTTTTTTTTTTTTTCTCCCTTTCTCTCTTTATTACTCTCTTTTTTTCTTTTTCTTTCTCTTTCTCTCTTTTTTTCATTTTGACTATGATTTGGATTTCTAAAAGGGATCCCTTTTCATCACTGTAAATGAAAATGGCTGTGATGAAGGAAAAGTCATGTCATGTCATGATTTTCTCCCTTCTTTTTGCCATCTATGATGACGCCAGAATAAGGTATTTTTCTATNTTTTTTTTTTTTTTAATTAGAAACCCTTTCTTGTGCCTGCAGAAATTAGGAGTGTATATGGGTGTCCCTGTCCGAAGAACAGATTAGCCCCATGAAGTGCCACGGTCAAAGTTGGGCTGGAAACATGGAGAGGCAAACCTTAGAGC